TTTGTTACTTATATGATGCAGGTATTAAATTTACGATCAACTCGGCGTAAGTCACCATATTTACTGTGTAGTACAGGAGTGCATGTGTAGACACGTGCCTGGACTGCACAGTAATTTTGGTTACTGCATAGCAAATAGCAACATGTAGCATGCCCACTGAGTTCAGGGCTTTATTTCTCTTACATGGATTGATTAAAAACAATCTGAAAATGGGTGTACTTGTGATACCATCATGGAAAGGAGATACATGCCAAGACCAGAAAAAAAGGTTTTGTATTTCAAATGAGGGAGGAGCTGGTTTGCAAATATTTTCTTTCTGGATGCAATTTATTTCTAATTTGTTTGTTATCACTTGCTCTGTTGGATGTTCTAATTACTATTGATTATTAGCTTTTAAAATAATTTTGATAGAACACTAGCAAATATTACAAGCAATAATCCAGCACTGACCAGACTAATGGATTTAAAAAGTAGGGAGTACTACTTCCTCTAGCTTAGTGATTCTGATGATTAGTATTTATTCACTACCCTGAGGTCTAGTAGTCCTTTAATAGATATGTACAGAGTGTCCATAACTCTCAAATGTCCTTCATTTTGGCTTATGGCATTCATGATAGTTTCAAAGTTGCCTTTATTTTACACAAATATTCCAGACAGAATATTTATGTATAATACGTGTGTGTTACTTTACAAATGTGGTGCCTGATGACTTTTAGAATTTAAAATTATTTAGGAATAATAATAAACTAGAGGATTCTTTGAATTAATTATTTGAATTAAAGAAAGAATTCCATAAAAATATGCTTGCCTGAATATTTATTTATTTCTCTCATTTTGTTTCCCTGAATTCCTCATTTGAATCCTTGTAGGTTTTGAAGCTGGAGTCTAGCAGAAGCTCCTGAGACTTGTTAGCCCTGTAAAGACTCTTTATTGTAGCTTTCTGAACATCCTGTAGCCCAAGAAGTGGGTGAAAGGACTATTGTCTCCTACAAGGTGATCTGTCCCCAGATTGCAAATCACACTAGGTGAATCTGAGATGCATCTACTCATCACTTTGCTGTCTAGGCTGATTGACTTCTTTCCAAGGATCTGGGCTTTCCTGGGAAGAAAACATTGGGCTCTGTCCCACCCAGCTACCACTCCACTCCTTGATCTAACTGCTACTGCAGTCAGTGTCTGAGCTCTTCTTCCCCCTTTAAGTTTGTGCTTCCTACTCTTACCAATGTGGGTGGAGCTCTGGGATGTGTGTCATGGTGGATAGGTTCACACAGTAGGGGCCTGGAGAGGAACCCACATGTTGGTAAAAGGCATGGGGGAGCCTGAGTGGCAGTGGGGAACCCCACTTTCTGGAGGGTGGGAGTGAGGGTACTCTTATTTTTTTTCCAGTGACTTGAAAATCATCTACTTACTGTTTCCCTACCTCTCACTGGGTGTTCTTTCAACACAGACTACATATTTTGTCCTGCTACCAGTGACTATTCCAAATCTGTGTTTTGTAACACATCTTGCCTTTTGCCCATGTTTATAGTACTCAGGTAACTATTGAGCACCTAGATATAAATTAGTGCAATATAACTGCCTACACAGATTTGTAGTTTTCGAAACTTAGAATTTTTGGGAGGTTTTTAACAGTTTTCCTGGATTATTTGTTTTCTTTTTTCTTTTTTTCACCCATTTTCTGCACTGGAACATTGGGAAGCAAGGGGGAAAATCTAGCAACTGAAAAAACAAAGATTGAATATCAAACATTTTAATTTTTCTGTTAGGAGACACAACTATATAATTTTTACTCAAGTGTATAACTTTTGTCCAAAAAATTAATCTTTTGAAAGCTTTTACATATCTTTTGAGAGAAATCATTTTTATTTAAAAAGCCCCAACAAAGCTCCACATAATATAGACAACATATTTTGACCATTTCCAGTTAAACTGTTTGACATCTTTTATTGCTGGACTTTTATTTTTAGATATGTCTCAAATAGCAAATTCAGAGCGACAACTTTTAGACTTTTCTGAAGAATAAAATACAGAAACAAGTAAAGGAAAGAGGAATAAAAGAGGAACCCCCCCACTCCCCACAAAAAGCCCCTTTGCAACTTTGTTTTGAGATTTGGTTGAATAAAGCAAGTGAAAGAATTCTTACACAGTCTTTCAAACTGCCTTCTAAAATCTTCAGAGAAATAGATAGGATAAAACATGATAAATACCATTCTCACACGTTTACTTATTTGTGAATGTTCTCCACACAGAAAAGTAATGATACCCTTTCATTGACATCATCCAAGTGATAATATCCTTTTGTCTATGTCATTGGAGTAATAATAACCTTTCAACTACTCCACTGAACAACACTTTTTGTCATTCTACAACAAGTAAAAAGACTACCTTTTAAAAAACAAAATGCATAGGGTCAAATATGCTTCGGTTTACACCAATGTCAATCTAGAATAATGCTGCTAAAAGCAATGATATTAAATTGATTTTGACTTTAAAATGGGAGCAGAAGTTGGTTCACAGTGGGTGCATCTACACATTCATTAACTCACCGTAAATACTGCACATTTAGTTAGGTACTGTACTTCCTTAGTGAAGTACTAACTGAATGCGCAGTAGCTAGAGTTACTGCACAGTAGTGCCAACACATTGTTATTTAGTGATGCTTACTGTGCATTAGCTTAATAACATTATGCAGAGGCTATTAGCACAGTTTTTGCTGTGACACACTACTGTACAGTGTTATTAGGCTAATGTGCAGTAAGTGTCTCATGTAGATGTGTGTAGTGTCTAAGAGGACACAAGTACTGGAACTCTAGAACCACTTATTTGCTAATTTGTTCTGGAAGTCGTGCACCAAAATAGTGGCTGTGTTGTCATAATCTACATGCTAATGATCTGTACTTGACAAGTGTTTTGCCATTCTATACATTATTAGGGAGAAGAGAAAGGAGCAGAGACATGCTTTGGCCTTACTAGTACTTGTTCTACATTTAATTACACAGTGACATCATTCAACAGGTTAGCCTAGAGCAGAGCTTTCCAAACTTTTCATGTTGGTGACACACTTTTTAGACATGCATCATTTCATGACACAGTAATTCAGTTCCGGGGGAGGGGCCAAGGGAAGCAGACGCGAGTAAGGGAGCTCCGCGGTGCCCTTCCGCAAAATTTTCTGCATTTCACACGACACACCTACACACTGCCGCCGACACACTAATGTGTCGCGGCACACAGTTTGGAAAGCTCTGTCCTAGAGACATCACTATTGCTCAGACAGGCCAGAAACAAACCGCTAAGAACTTACAAAGAAAAATATTACGGTTAGGCAATCATTACTGAGCTCTCCACTCTGTGATTCAACCTTACGTTTACATGCAAATTCCGTTTAATATGAGTCAGTAGAGGATTGCGAGAAACTTCATAATGAACATTTAAAATTTCTTCTTTCAAATAATTACTTTAATTACCTAACATAACATAGATTTATTATAATAAGATTATATGCATTCATTAAAGTACTCTGACTCGATTGCTTCCTATCGAAATGAATTATCACTTATGTGAAATACATTGTGATGCTGATCTCTTTATTAAGCCAATATCTCTTAAAACTAAAGACAGTGGCAAGTTGTACAGGATGTTAACTGTGTGTCTGTTTATTGAACTTGATATATACTTCATTTTAGCTTTTAATTTTGTTAGGTAAAAATAAAAAGATCAAAGAAATTTCCTGCCTGAGAGGGGAAAGTGAACTGCATATTAACTTTCTCGTGTTACCAGTGAGATTTCTTGCAACCAATAGAGTAACTGCATTGCAGAGGAATTAATCTCAGGAACTAGACTTTCAGGAAAGCTGCAGTGATTAGCTATAGTTTCTTTTAGAACATACTTCCCTTCATTGCAAGCAGTGGAAATGGTCTGTTAAAAGTGTTTCTGTTCTACTTTTACTCCTTGGTATAGGCCCTTTCTAGAGATGCATATGAGAGCACATAAAACACCCTTTTGAATGTAGCGATAAAGATTTTAAAAGCTGTTGCAAATTAAGTTGTTTTTCTTCTCCCCTTAAAGAAGAGGTAACAGAGTGTTACAGGTAATTAGAAAGTCCAAGGTTTGTTACATATCTATTTAGGACATACATTTCCAGAAAAAAAATCAATGCCATCAATAGATTGTCAAGATGGCGTCTTCATATGTAATTGTGCTATTTTAGGCCAGATTCTAATACTCTTGCCCATGCTGTAAAGAATTAATTTGAACTTATTTCTACATTGTATTAGTTTCTGTTCCACACTTGATTAATAGAGAATATTCTTCATATATCTGGGGAGCTAACTCTGTTTCCATTTAGGTTTTGCAGGTTGCTCTTCAAATATGCCAGCAAGGCCCTGATCCTGCAAACACTTGAGTATGTGTTTAATTTGTAGTCACAGGAGTAGCCCCTTTGAGTGTATCCCCACGAGTGGGACTGTACATTCCCAAGGACAGGTACCAGTGGCACATATTTGTGCCACTGCTAGTTGTCCTTGGGGAATGCCCCTGCATGCATGCTCTGGTGCATGGCAAGTTGCCTCGCGTGAGGTAGGGGAGGCTGCGGCCAGCATCTGAGCTGGCCCCAGTAGCCTTACCTATGGTTGTGGGGGCCCCCAAGAGCGCCAGCAGTGGTGATCCAGGTGCCTGAAGCTTAGCTGGCAGCTGGAGTGTGCTTGGCTGGCTACGTTGGGTGGTATACACTGCTGCCATGTGTGCCACCTCAGTTTTTATTGGCATGGGTGTTTTTGACATTGGGATCTCTCCATGTCAAAAAATCTGCCATGCTGCAAAGTAGCAGTGCAACAAACATCTGCATGCTTAGTGTGTGCAGTCTGCAGTGCCACAGGCAGGTCTGTAGCACTGCAAAATGGAAGTATCCACTCAAGGGGACACACCCTTTGAGTACAGTTACTCACTTACTAAGTATAAGCATTTGTAGGGTGAAGGCTTTACCTGGTATTAAGACAGCTCTTTTAGCTGCCTCCAAATGCTTCAAGCAACCCCTTTATTGAGCAAACTAGACCTGCCAGGCTGCAAAGGAAGCCCAAAATAAAAACAGAAATGTCGGCACATTTTTCCAGGAGCACTAACTTTTCCCATTTAAGTTTTAAGTGAAAAAGAGAAGGAAGGAGAAAAGTCATTGCAGCCCCTGTTATACTCCCTGTTAAACCCATCAACAGGGCAAAATGTGGTATGCACATGGCCATCAGCAGAGTTAAGAAAAGAAGTGAGCCTCTTAAAACTAGACCAAATAGGGGAGCACAGTTACCAAAATGATTGCCTTTAGATATACATGCATTCACTATTTCTGCGGCTGCAAAAAAGGGCAATGGGTAAGAGAGGAGAGCCTTGGCTAAGAGGCACAAATTCACTAGGGTTTGCAAGAATGATGGCAGGTTGTCAGTAACAACTTCCTTTGTCTCTTCACCCCAAGTAAGAAATGCAGTCACTGCAAAGGCTGTTTTGAAGACACAAGCAAAAAAGTGAGTCCAATTTAACATGCAGTTAAATTCCCCTGGGTTTTTCATGTTCCCTTCAAGGGTGGGGAGAAATATTTGTGAAGTATAACTGAAAATGATCACCCCAATTGAGACCAGGAAATTCTCAAACTCAATGGAGAATCTAAATCTTGTCCAGGACCACTGGTGTATTTGTGTCAGACAGTAAGTTATCACGACAAAAATGATAATGAAATGGACTAAGGAGCAAAGCTGGCTAAGCTTAGAAATGATTTTGAGAGTTTTGATAAATACACAAGGCAGCAATGTTACAAATGCAATTACAGACCAAGTTTTCTCAGTCATTGGTACATGTGGAAAACTATGTGACAGCAAGTTCCCACTAACAACCAGATACAAAATGCATGTCATGATCAGTTCCATCACCTGGGTCACACTGACAACTATGCCACCTAGTCTGGGAAACAGCTTTTTGCAGCAGGCATTAGCAATGTCTTCATATGTGTCTCTCACTCTTACGAGCTGCCCATCTTCATTTTCTTCATACAGGCAGGCGATTAGAATTTTGCCAGTATAACAGCAGAACATTGCAGTCAGGATAATAAGAAACAGGCCACTGTAACCACTGTGGAGAAGAGCATATGGCAATCCTAGGACAAAAATTCCCTACAGAGGAAAAGAAAAAAAAGGGGCAAAAACCATAAAGCAAAATGGTTACTGGAAGCAATACTTTCAAATCATATCCATTGAGCATTACCTTCTCCTAACTGCATGGTGGAAGCATTGTTACATTAGTTAATCTAAGTAAATAACAATTGCAAAAAAAATGTTTATGATAAATGAAGTTATTAGCCAAAATAACTGCTAACACTGACACACACATAGATAAGCTAAGGAAGAGGAAATGCAAGTGATAGAGACAAGTTTCTAGTTAATATTTAACGCTGATGTGATTAGAAGCATATTTTAAAAGGCTCATAGGCAGTTACTCAGTCAACATGCATATTAATGGAGCAGGTTCAATAATAATAAAATCAAACAGCTGTATCATTGCCTAGATAAGTTTCATCCAAACAAAAAGAGCACTATTGGCAGATTCAATGACACATCTCTCTGGTCTAAAAATGCTATGGGGTCATAGCTAATAGTCATCTGGAAATAAAATGCCATTAAAGTCTGATTGTGTTACCTCTGCAGCTGTCTGTATACCTCATGGGGAATTGGCTGTTGTCTCCATTGTTAAGTGATCACCCTCATAGTTGAGAGATTAGAATGTTTGGCTCTATTTAGCGGCTTAAAAATATACATCGAGTCTCCTTACTTATTTTTCTCTCAATAGTTCCTCTCAGGAATTGGATTATATTAATTTTATCCAGTACAAAGCCCCACACTTCATGTACACTTCCTTCTTCTTAAGATGTGCTGCTATTGTAATGTACATCAATACAAAACTATCAAACTCTTGAACAATAGTTAGTCATAATAAAGATTCAATTTAAGATAAACAGCCTTCCTGACATTTCCTTTTTATGTTATAATGTTGAGAATAAAGGCTGTACTTTAATCATCCTCTCTATGAGTATAACTTTTGATGGTGATTAAAATACAGTATAAGGGAAACAACATACAGTTCACTTTCTCTCTGCACAAATGATTACATTAATATGCCTGGCAGCCTTGGTGGTGAGAGTAAAATACCAGTTTAAGTAGCCTTTAACTGGACATAGTGGCCCAAACCCTGAGATGCTTGGGAAGGATTACAATTCTATTAATGGGATATAGCAAAAGAGACACAAATTACAAATGTATAAATGAAGGCCTCGATCCTACAAATCCTTAAACATGTGCTTCACTTGTCTCATAGGAGTCATTTCACTGGGCACAACTATTCACAGGATGAGGCCCTTAATTTATCATTTTCAAAAGTAAAAGTGGCAGAATCTGCTCTCATAAATGGCAGTTCTTACATTTTTGTTAGGTCTGATTCTGCCTTTCTCTCATTGTGTAGTGTATCTTATTGATTGTGCAGCTCCACTGATTTTTGAGGAGCTATTTACAGGATCTGGCACTACCCAAAATAACAGTTATATAATGAAGCTTTTAGTTTTCACTCAGGTCAACCACTGTTGACTTCAGTGGGAATTTTAGAAACTACAGGATTGCATCCATCTTGAGCATGTAGATAGCCAGTGTACAAACGATACATTATTTGTACAGAAAAAGTAGCAAAGAGATAGTTTATAAAGGCCTAGACGTCAGTTCCCACCTTCAACTAGCCCAGGTGTCATCTCTTACTTGGGAAAAATTCCCCATAAATATCAGCAATGATACCACATGATTCTTCAAATCTTTCTTTTAAATTCTCCTTTCCCATGATGCCTAGAAAAAAGCTTGACAAGGGTTAGGTGTGACATCTGAAAATTGTGTTGAAGGTGTTTGCTGAACACTGTGAAGATTACACCAGGCGTTTCTTGTCATCTGTTCACATATTGTAAGCTGTATGTCACCGCTAAGAGCCTAATTAAAGTTAAAGAATAGTGAGGCCTTGTATGTAGTGAGGTCTAGTAAATTTAGCAAGGCCTTGTAGAAGTAGTAGTAAGCCTTGTGGCACAGTTAAAATTAACCTTATCAGAAGAATTCAAATGCTTGTACTGCTATTGGTCAGTCCTAAGAAGAGTTATAGTGGGAGAATCTGTATGGCTGTAAGTTATCAGCATAGCTCAGAAGTTATAAATTGGCTAGTGCATCCAGAAATCATTAGAAGGAAGATGCAGTGGTATAAGAGCAGCTACTGATTTAAAATTAGCTGCAGACCTGGATTCTTTGGCTAGTGAATCTTGAGGAGCCCAAGGACTGAATACCAGGGTCCTTCCTGGTACCCCTTGGACAGCGCTGATCGGGGATGCCTGACTTCGCTGAGCTTTGCAGAAGAGGAATTTGTCATATATCAGGCATCAGAGGAGACTGCCGATAAGTTGCTGATGCGAATTATTATTGTACTCTTATTACATTATGCGTAGTTGTGTGTTTGTTAAGTCAATAAACTTTTCTTACTTTTTTACCCCAACCACTCTTTCAATCCCGAACCCTCCGCTGGTGGCTGGGACATAAATTGGCATCATGAACAGGATTGAGAGACTCTGGTCCAGACAGAAAAGTCGGAATGGAGGGAGTTAGGTGGGCCCCTTGGTGTCTTTGCTTAAGGACGTGAAAGGGACGGAGAATCCTGGGTGGGATTACGATAGATTGAGGCCTGCCTGGAGTCACCCAGGAACCATACCTGATCACTGGGCTAGGTTTGCTGCTGCTGCCTGGGGTAAGCCCAAGAAGGGGTGCCTGTTACGGCTGCTGGCCATGTGCCTGCAGTTAGGGGCTGAAGAGAATGCCCAGCTCCAGGAAAAGGTCACTCGGCTGAGTAAGGAGCTGGAGGACATGAGAGATTCCAGCAGTGTGGCATGTGAGGCTGCATGAGCTGCCCAGAGTCACTTGGAGACATTAGAATGGAGGGAAGGAAAAATTATGATCGTGCGTGTGGCCGCTTCCCTCCAGAAGAGGGCACAGTTAGCACAGGCTGTGGAGCCACCTTCGAGAAAGTGTGACAGTGTCTGTATGGAGGGAAACTGGGAACTGAGGTCTGGGAAGATCAAGGGGAGGGAACAGATGGAGGGCCTAGTTCTGACCCGCCCCCATATGTCCCCGCCCGGAGGGAGGAACCTAGCCAGGCCTTCCCCATGGTGGTAACTTGCTCAGGGCCACAAGGAGAGAATCCCCGAGCAGAGCTTCATTCCTTTACCTGTGCGGAGATTTGAGATATACAGGAGCAGCAAAGTCCAAGCCAGGAGAGCCAGTGATAGACTGGCTAGTTCGAATGTATAGTGAAGGAGCCTCTGCAATTTCAGTAAGTTGAGCAGAAGCCGCTCAACTAGTCCTAGATTCATAGATTCATAGATGTTAGTGTTGGAAGAGACCTCAATAGATCATCGAGTCCGACCCCCTGCATAGGCAGGAAAGAGGGCTGGGGCTAGATGACCCCAGCTAGATACCTATCTAACCTCCTCTTGAAGACCCCCAGGGTAGGGGAGAGCACCAACTCCCTTGG